TGCAGGGTTAAAGATAGTACACATTAGCAAAATATACCTATTTAGTTGATCGTGTTGAGGCGATATACTTGAATTTTCAAGTTTAAAATTTATTTAAGAAAGTTATGCAAGCCAAATATTGGAACTTTGGTAAAGGCTGAAGTTTATTTAGAACGAAATCTTGAGAACATTTAATTCAGTTCTTGGGTTCTAAATATTATATCACTTCTAGCTTTGATTTTTAAGTTTTATATTATGCTAAAAAATAAGTTTATTAAAACTTATTTGTTTTATTCTTTGAAATCCCTTATTGACAGTATCGACCATTATTCAGTTGTGTTTACTAAGGTTTATGGCTATTTTTAGACATTGTAGCAGATATAATTGGAATTTAAAAACAAAGAAATGTTGAAAATAAAGAAGTTAGCATCTTCTAAGCATAAAATTGTTTAAAATTTTTTAAAAAAATCAAATTTTGCTCTTTACCCATAAATGTTCCCATTAAAATGATTTCCAGATTAAAAAATCCAAACTCTTTATTTTCTGTTGTATAAAACAGGTTTTCTTTTTAATAAAACAAGCAATAATTTAAATTATTACACTTACTAATACTCCTTGAAAATTTTCTTAGACATTTTGTTGTCTTTAATATCCTTAATATTTAATTTAAAACAAATTACATTGAAAGGGAAAAAAATAGAAGAAGCACAGAAATTCTAGACAAGACTCAAACCATCTATTCTGGAATCTTTAGGCCCAGTCCATATAACTGTTATTAGAGTCAGTACCTGTAGACATCACATTGGTGGCATGGTTGGAGACTGGTAGACACTCGGCAGCACTGTGATGCATTATCAGAGGCAGCGTTGCAGAAGAGTCAGAGTTCAGAGGTATAAAGGTGTCAGCTGAAGTAAAAGGTTGGCAACTCATTCCCACAAGAGAGTAGGAAAATAATGAGGACCGCTGCTCCCCAAAGGAGAGTTTTATTATATTACCGTCTCAAAGGGCCGTTTCAATTCTCACTACCTGCATATATACATCAGGAGGGCTCTGAAGCACCAGGAGAGCGCGTGCAGGTATTTATACTGCAGGGAAATCCCTTTATACATGTTAATGGTCTTTTCCCAGGAGTATTGCTTTATCAATCTGAACTGCCTTCTTTTTTACCCAAACATATTCCACGCCTAAGGAAGCTGGTTTGGGGGTATAGTCCTC